CTGTAGTCCATGTAAAACTCTCCTGAGCTAGTTCTCTGACCCACCCAGTGCCCTTCAAAACCCTGGTCTTAAAGGCCAGAGATGTGAGGTGACTTGCTTGACATCACATAGCAAGTTATGTAATAAACCGTAGAGCCTGAGATTTCTAACTTCAAGTTCTATGCTTTCTTTGTGTTTTCATTCCTGGTATTCTAAGATTTGCTCAGATCAAAGCAAATTCCTATTTATGGTATTCAGGTCATAAAATATCGTAAGTAACAGGAGAGAGAGGATGCTAATATACCCATAGAATGCTCTCCCTATAGGCTAACAAAGAGGATTAATGTCAATCTTTTATCAAATTCCCAAATGAAAACTGCTTTTAATGTGTCCTCAGAGAAAGAGGAAAAAGGGAAAATACTTACTCAGTGAGAATGACACCTGACTATAAGGTAAGGACCTACAGTGATGTACAAACATACCCACATATTTCCTTTTTCTCTGTAGTGTCTGATATATATACACATATACATACACATATACCTGTACTTCTTCCTTCAATCCAATCATTCGTAATAACAGGACACACAGAAATGCCCAAGAGTTTTCTGGCTGCCACTCAGCTATCTTCAATGTAAGTCAAGGATCGCAAAGGCAAGATAACAGACATCGGGTGACGTTTGGTCACTGAAGAGGCAATATCACTAAGTTCTGGTACCAAAAGATTGGTAAGCCTGCAGAAGGCTCCTAACCTGATTCAGGATAACAAGTTTTTAGTTTGCCCTTGAGCATAAAATCTATTACCACCTCCAATCTTACTGTGTTCCTTAATCCGAATAAGCTCTTTGGTGAAAAATCAATGTACAAACAAGCGCATTCTTCTGAAAATAATGCTGTGTGTTACATTCTCGAAAATGAAACATTCTGAGCATATCTCTGCATGAATTGTATAAGAAGAGAGGGGAACTTTCTCAAAATCTTCTCCAAGAATACATTTTGAGAAGCAAAACTTTTCTGAACAGTTAAATGAAGCATATGATAAGTTTCTAAATATTTATTTCGGGCTCATATTGACATTATTCTCCAAAGGAAATATATATGTAAATAATACTATCAAAATAAATATAATATACGAAGAATATTTAGACAAATTAAGAAGAGATGGTCTCAAAAAATTAGAGATCCTTCATAGTAACATTGTGGAACTCTGACTTAGCTAAGAAAACCTTATGCCCTTAAACTTATTTAAAATGATTCTTCTGTAGTCCCCCACTAAATTCCTGTATGATTTTGTTGAAAATTTTCCTATTCCATTTATGGTAACAAAGCCCAGAAGAAATTTAAGTTATCTATATCATGGGTCTTCACATAGGTAGCTAACATTTTTCAGAAATAAATTTTTCTATTTGTACATTTTTGTTTTTGTTGTTATTGTTAAACGTTGGTTTTGGTTTTTGTTTTTTTAAATAATGGGCCAGCAGTTGCCGCAACCTTCAAGATACCCCAAATCACACTCTTGAAGATATCCTGAATCGCCTTCTAAAATATCTGGAATCACTCCTGAGATATCCAGAATCACATTCCTGAAATATTCAGAATCACACAACCACTTTTAATTATAAACATTTAATATAAAAAAAAGTTAGTCATAGTGTCTACAACTTGAGTCATTCCTGAGTGATAAAACTATTAGGAACAAAGTCTCAAAATCAAACCCCCTAGTAAAAACACTGATATAAAACAAATTCTATTCTCAGAAAAGTTTTTCAGCCCCAAAATTTAAAATTTTGTTTAAATTTTTCAAACAAAATTTAAAAACCAATCAGAATTTGGGGCATTCTTGCCTTACTCTCTACCTGAGGAAATATATTTAAGAGATTCTGGGAAAGCTACTGGGACCCATCCAAATGCCTCTTCAAGACACACCATTTACGTTGCTACCTCCATCAACATATAAGATTTAGGGAGACAATATGCCAATATGCTGAATTTACTAAATGCCTACTACATTGCAAGAAACTGTAAAAAACAAAAAAAAGAAAAGAAAAGAAAAAGAAAGAAAAAATAAACTGTGCTAAGCACCAAGAAGAAAAGTTATGATACCTGCATGGATCTTATGGTTTATTTAAGAAGATAAGATACATATATAAATTATAGCATAGGACAATGTATGATTGTCCTATCAATGGTATAAAGTGTCAGAAGAGTTTGGAAGTCGGAGGTAATAGTTCATTCTGGGGAGATCAGGGAGCCTTTAAATCAAAAGTGTCACTTGAGCTACATTAAGTGGATAAAATGTGGCTGGTAAGGTACTCAAGATGGAATGGCTTTCCAAAAAAAGTGTGGAGGTGGAAAAAGTAGAGTATCCGTAGAATCAAAGAGTCATGCGGCTGAAGCTTAAGCTATTTAAAGGGGAGTAGTGAAGGAAAGACTGCTTAACTCCAGAGGAGAAGAGAAGGTGGCCCAGTGTCCAGGCTTATTAGCTTGGACTTCCTTACTTTGTTGAATTGCCATCCCTGCAGTCTTTTATCAAAGCGAGTGCCACAAACAGAGGGATGTTTTAGTCAGATTAACCTGAGGGTGGGGAATGAATGGAGAGCACTCAGGGTTAAGGAAAACAGTTCTCAAAAGAAAATGGTGGAAGTCACTATGTGCCAGGCACTGATAAGTATTTCATTTAATCCCAACAACAATTCAGTTATAAAACATTTTTTATAGATAAGAAAACTGAAGCAATTCAACAACAGTTGGTGGCCCAGAAACAAAAAGCTGACTGACGGAAAATTACTCCAGTTTAGGAACCTGGAAGGCAAACATGCTGGAAGGTCAAAAGGATGGGGAAAATCTAGGGTCCTTGTAAGTACAAGTGTGGTAGAAATGACTGATGCAGAATCCAAGTCAAATATGAAGAAAAATGCAGCAACAGGAAGAGAAATCATCAATTAGACTTAATAAGGAGGATGAAGAACAAATCCAATTAAGAAAGAGAAAGTGGATAAGCTAGATTCAAAAAAGTTGTGTCAAGGAGAGAACCTAAGATCTCAGTATTGGATCAGCTTCAAAGTGGTAAGATACCACGGTCCAGGTGGACAGGGGATGTACACTATGGATGTATTTTCCCAGAGTCAAGGAAACAGAAGAAAAGCTAGCTCAGGGTAGCATGTGGAAAAGTTTAAAGTAATTATGATGGGTGACAGGAGGGGAAACCCGTGATTCTAATACTGAAGTCCCTGAGGACTTCAGTACAAACAAAGAACCCAAAGAACCCAGAAGGCTGATAGTAAAGAATCCAGAAGGCAGACAGTACAGAAGATGGCAATATAAACAGATGACTGGTATATTCAAGATGAAATTTTGAGGAGTACTGATAATGAAACCATTGTTACCTGTCAGCATCAGTGAAGAACTAGGAAAAAATACTGACTTTTTAAAAAAATTACCTTGAATTCAGGGAACATAAGAGGAATTGCCTTTATTACCCCTAGCCACAGCCATTACCATTATTATTTTAAAACCAGGGTAATGGTGTGATTTCAAGGATTGAAAATGATGCGATGGCCACTGTCTCTAACTTACAAGATGCCTTCCTCCCTCAGAAGAGGCAAAACCCACCTGCATCTAAGGTGGAAGCCCACCAAGGTCAGTCACAGGGTTCTCAACCTCCTAAATAGGGTTCAATGGGTCACCTCCAAAACTACTTCCAATACAAAATAAATAGCAAAGTGCAACTTACTTAAATTTAATGAGAATTTAATACACAATACTATGTATTGTTTGCTAATGCTGAACTTTTCTATTTTCATGAACTTTCAATAATTCATAGAGTTGTACATAATCTTAAGAATAAATCTCAAGATTAAGGTTATCTTGAATAAATTTCATCTAGGTAAAACCACATTGCAAAAATGCAGTACTCAATATGTTGCCTGCTTATTCTTTTGTTCTACACACACATATATACATACACATACACATGCAATACTAAGGTCAAAATAGCTTAAATTTCTAAAACAGGACTCTTGATAACAAACGGGTAGTTGAAGGTGAAAGGTGGAACAAGACCAAGTATAGAACTTATGTAACTTTCCACTTCAAAATGAAATGGAAAATTACACTTGGCTTTATTCCATGTTTCCAATTTTTATTCAGGTATTAAAAATATCAGTCTCCTGGGCTTCCGTGGTGGCGCAGTGGTTGAGAGTCCACCTGCCGATGCAGGGGACACGGGTTCGTGCCCCGGTCCGGGAAGATCCCACATGCCGCGGAGCGGCTGGGCCTGTGAGCCATGGCCGCTGGGCCTGCGCATCCGGAGCCGGTGCTCCGCAACGGGAGAGGCCACAAGAGTGAGAGGCCCGCATACTGCAG